AAAATCAAGTTAATTGAATTTTTATTAGCAGTTTTTATCGAGTGGGTTCGGGAGATATGTTCGGAAATCAAAAGGAGACACGGCTCTTAATCAGGTGCATACATTCTTTAGCGCCTTCCATAAGAATGCACACTTATAAGAAAAGACTCTACTCTAAATGTTCCTACTTTTTTCCATTATGATTCTTCCCGGGGCAATTTTGTTGTTGTTGTTGTTGTTGTTGTTGTTGTTGTCACTCATCAACAGACAACTGAAGGATACCCGCCCTTCTGACGACCTAACACGCATGCGCGCGACTACATATTGCGCATGCGTAGCATGATTGCTACAAGAGCATTGCGAGGAACTTGGTGAGGGATCGTCAACAACGACGGAATATTTTAATTGAAGTTCGTATGCTACACTGTCTGTGATGGTGATATTATTAACGCAAAATAAAATAGAAAAAAAATATAACATCATTTTTACAAATATTAATAGTAGCAATATCAAATACCATTAGACTCTAGCATAGATTTAATTATTTTAAAAAATTAAAAAGTTTATTGAAAATGGAACGCAGAATCATGTACTCATTCTTCGATCAATTAAATGGATTCTTTGGTATAAGACGTGTTTCCCGCCACAATGGTGTCAAGCGAACGATCATTATTATGTCTTTAAATCATCTATTCAAACATTTTTTGTTGTTTACCCTGGTAAATTCCAGTTTTGTATCGGTCGGCCAGTGCTCATTAGGCCGTTATAGCAATGAGCAGCACGGAACGTTAACATTGAGTACTCTCCTATTCGAGTTTCGCTATCATTTCGTTGTGATGACAGCGATGTCGGGTTTTGAATTGTGCCACCATTTTCCTGTGATGGGTGTAGTGAAGTTTCTGTGCTGTCATATTCCGAAGATGAGAAATCGCTTCGCCCCCCATTCGCCCCCCCCCCGCCCCCCCCCCCACACGTTTAAAAAAAATAAATATTTATTTTAAAATCTTCCTATGATTTCAGTGTGTACGTACAATTCAAAGTGTACGACACCTGCACGTAAGTGGATCGAACCTAGTACACTTTTTCCATTCATATTTGGAACCTTAGGTTTATGCAATTCCTTCATTTGTGATATTCATTTTGATTTATCATTATCATCATGCTCATCAATGTTGTCATAGGCAAAGGTGAATAATATTGCATAATCCAAGGGGAAAATAGGATTTTCATTACTATATTGTTTTATTTATTTTTATTAATTAAAAAAAAATTAAGAAAACGTAGGCATTTTCCTACCATCCATTTCTTGAAATTCATCATTCATGATCATGCTCATAAACATTGTTATTGGCGAAATAACATGAGTATGCATGTATCACGGGTTCGTATTACAATTAAGTAGTAGGGCTATTGCAGACCTGTTTATTTGTATGATTTTGGCGACCCACTTTAGATGTCTTTGGCGATTCGCCGCCGAGAACCGTTTTAGCAACAATTTGAAGAGACCCGGATCAAATAATTTTCCCCACCAATGGGGGGGGGGGGTGTGAGTGACGTAGGTCACCGAACAAAATAATTACGTCACCGGCACGGAAAGATTAGTGTGTTGTTAGGGGTGGCTCTCAACTTACGTAACGCTCAAAGAGGGGGGGGGGG